TCAACATAGATACAATGGATTTAAACTATACCCTACAAAAAATAGACTTAACAGATATTTACAGAACATTCTACCCATCATTTGTAGAATATACGTCCTATTCATTAGCACATGGAACGTTCTCCAAGATAGACCATATGATAGGCCACAAAACAAGTCTCAGTAAATTTAAGAAAACCAAAATTGTATCAAGTACTCTCTCAGACACAGTGGAATGAAATTGGAAATCAACTCTAAAAGGAACCCTCAAAAACATGCAAATACATGGAAATTAAATAACCTGCTCCTGAATGACCATTGGGTCAACAATGAAAACCAGATGGAAATTTAAAAATTCTTTGAACTGAATGATAATAGTGACACAACCTATCAAAACCTCTGGAATACAGCAAAAGCAGTGCTAAGAGGAAAGTTAAATATCATTAAATGAGTACATTGAAAAGTTTGAAAGAGCACAAATAGAAAATCTAAGGTCACACCTCACAGAACTGGCAAAACAAGAACAATCCAAACCCCAAAACCAGCAGAAGAAAACAAACAGAGCAGAATGAAATGAAATTAAAACAAAAAAAAAATACAAAAGAAATGAAACAAAAAGCTGATTCTTTGAAAAGATAAATAAAATTGATAGACCATTAGTGAGATTAACTAAAACAAGAGAGAAGATCCAATAAGCTCAATTACAAATGATACTGGAGATATTACAATGAATACCACAGAAATACAAAAGATTATTCAAGACTACTATGAACACCTTTATGCATACACTAGAAAACGTAGAGGAGATGAATAAATTCCTGGAAATATACAACCCTCCTAGATTAAACCAAGAAGGTATAGAATCTCTGAACAGACCAATAACAAGTATCAAGATTGAAATGGTAATTTTAAAATTGCCAACAAAAAAAGTCCAGAACTAGACAGATTCACAGCTGAATCTTTCAGACATTCAAAGAATTTTTAACCATGTTATTGACACTATTTCAAAAGATAGAGAAAGAGAGAATCCTCCCTAAATCATTCTGTGAAGCCAGTATCACCCTAATACCAAAACCAGGGAAGCGTATGACAACAACAGCACCACCACCACCAACAACAAACTACAGACCAATATCCCTGATGAACATAGATGCAAATCCTCAAAAAAAAAAAAAAATACTAGCAAACAGAATCCAACAGTGTATCACAAAGATAATCCACCATGATCAAGTACATTTCATACCAGGGATTCAGGAAGGGTTTAGCATCTGCAAATCAATAAATGTGATATACCACATAAAAAGGATTAAAAACAAAAATCACACAATCATCTCAATAGATGCAGAAAAGACATTGGACAAACTCCATAATTCCTTTATTATTAAAATGCTCAGCAAAATTGGCATAGAAGGGACATATCTTAAGGTAATAAAAGCCATCTATGACAAGCACACAGCCAACATTATATTGAATGGGAAAAAGATGAAAGCATTTTCCCTGAGAACTGGAGCAAGACAAGGATACCCACTTTCACCACTTCTATTCAACATAGTGCCAGAAGTCCTAGCCATTGCAGTCAGACAAGATAAATAAATAAAGGGCATCCAAATCAGTAAAGAGGAAGTCAAACTGTTGTTGTTTGCTGAGTGTTTGATTGTATACCTAGAAAACCCTAAAGACTCATCCGAAAAGCTCCTAGAGCTGGTAAATGAATTCAGCAAAGTTTCAGGATACAAAATTAGTGTACACCAAAGAGTAGCACTGCTATACACCAACAGTGACCAAGCTGAGGATCAAATCCAGAACTCAACCCCTTTCACAATAGCTCCAAGAAAATAAAATACTTAGGAATATACCTAATCAAGGACATGAAAGACCTCTATAAGGAAAACTACAAAACACTGCTCAAAGAAATCATAGACAATACAAACAAATGGAAACACATCTCATGCCCATGCATGGGTAGAATCAATATTGTGAAAATGATCATACTTTCAAAAGCAACCTTGCAATTTGCATCAAAATACCACCATCATTCTTTACAGAACTAGAAAGAACAATCCTAAAATTCATGTGGAACCAAAAAAGAGCCCACATGGCCAAAGTAAGTAAGTAAAAGAACAAGACTGAGTAAAAGAACAAATCTGGAGGCATCACATTACCCAACTTCAAACTATACTCTAAGGCCCTAGTCGCCAAAACAGCATGGCACTGGCATCAAAATAGGCACATAGACCAAGGGAACAGAATAGAGAACCCAGAAATAAAGCCAAATACTTACAGCCAACCAATCTTTGACAAAGCCAAAAAACAACAACAAAACCATAAAGTGGGGAAAGTTCACCCTATTTAACAAGTGATCCTGCAATAATTGGCAGACCATATATAGAAGAATGAAACTGGATCTTCATCTCTTGCCTTATACAAAAATCAACTCAAGATGGATCAAAGACTTAAATCTAAGACCTGAAACCATAAAGATTCTAGAAGATAACATCAGAGAAACCCTCTAGACATTGGCTTAGGCAAAGACTTCATTACTAAGAACTCAAACGCAAATGCAACAAAAACAAAGATAAATAGATGGGATTTAATTAAACTCAAAAGCTTCTGTACAGCAAAAGAAACAATCAGCAGAGTAAACAGACAATCCATAGAACTGGATAAAATCTTTATACATCTGACAAAGGACTAATATCCAGAATCTACAAAGAACTCAAACAAATCATCAAGAAAAAACAAACAATCCTAATCAAAAAGTGGGCTGAGGACATGAATAGACAATTCTCAAAAGAAGACATACAAATGGCCAACAAGCATATGGAAAAACTCTCAACATCACTAATGATCAGGGAAATGCAAATAAAAACCACAATGTGATACCACCTTGCTTTTGCAAGAATGGCCATAATTTAAAAATCAAAAAATAATAGACGTTGGCAGGGATCCAGCAAAAAGGGAACACTTGTACAGTGTTGGTGGGAATGTAAACTAGTACAACCACTATGGAAAACAGTGTGGCGATTCCTTAGAGAACTAAAAGTAGATCTACCATTTGATCCAGCAATCCCACTACTGGATATCTACCCAGAGGAAAATAAGTTATTATACAAAAAAGATACTTGTACACACATGTTTATAGTAGCACAAATCAGAATTGCAAAAATATGGAATCAGCCCAAATGCCCATCAATCAAGGAGGGAAGAAAGAAAGAAGAAAGAAGAAAGAAAAAGAAAGAGAGAGAGAGAAATAGAGAGAGAGAGAGAAAGAAAGAAAGAAAGAAAGAAAGAAAGAAAGGAAGGAAGGAAGGAAGGAAGGAAGGAAGG